TAATAAAGTGTATGTGGTAATAATTAGGCACTGTTCAAATAATACTGTATATTGTTACCATTAGAATTTTTTTTATGTAAATTAATCTAGTACACTTACATGGTAGATTATTGAGGTTAGTGGTGTATTATCCACAGGACTTTTGGGTTAATAAGGCTGATGTGATTTATTATTTAGTTTCAGTTGGATTGAGCCTGCTTATAATATATTTAGGGCATGCTGAGTTAAATATATAGTTTGTGAGTATATATCCGGTTGTTGTAGATGTCTAAATGAATTATTTGTATGAACAAGGTTGTTATGGTGATTAAATTTGTCGGATGCTTGTGTATTTAATAAGTTATAGCCATTCAGCCAGGTAGAAATACTTATTGTAAGTACAGCTATTTAATCATAGGTATTGATTGTTTTTAACTTTTAATTGAGTGAGCAAAGCATATATTAGATACTGATTGTTGAGTCAAGACTTTGCTTTTGTGTTTTCTTGTGTATCTTCACCCTGCGATGTGTTACTGTACCTTGTATACTAACTAATCAGCAACACAAACCCTGCCCCAAGCATTGACTTTTATTGACAAAGAAGCCCCAGAGAGGGAAGTGTTAGACATGCATGTCTCATTACAACATTGCAACAATGATGACATATTTGACCATCAACTGCAAGATTCCTCAGCCAAGTCAGTCTCATTCTTCATCTCATTAAATACATCAGAAGTGTTGACATACCTGTCCATCTATTGACAGCTTCCTTGGCCACACCAGTCTCATTCTGTATTTCTTTTAACACTTCCGGATCACATTCTTTATACATTTCCAATTCAGATAAAAAGTGACTTTTCTGTTTTTCTTTTTCTTGCAGCTCCTTCAAACATTGTGTTCGTTCCACCTATTTAGACAATATAATATTTAAAATCCTGCCAATCGACAAGTAAATTGCCAAGGCTGACATGAGAATTAATAAAATGGTCACATATCTTAATAAAAATTGCAAAGTTTACAAATGATAGACCCATTCATCCATTATGTCTGACAATGCAGTTGAGTGTGGTCACCAGCCGTGGTACAATTAATGTAAGCTTTGTCTTTGTTGCTGTTCCTTTTCAAATATCTCAACTTTTATGATTTATTCCTTTGATTTCTCAAAAGATGCTTATAACTGAATTTCAGGGTAAATGTATTAAAAAAATTGATAAGTAGAATAACATGGCATAGTCAGTGTTAATACATGTACATCTCTACATACACTGTCTTCTCGTCCTTTCTGTGCTTCTTCTATTCTTTCTGTTAATATATTTCGTTTCTTTTCGCTTTCTTCTAATCTTTCACTCAGCTCTTCTATTTTACGCTTACACTAATAAACAAAATTATAATTTATTAGAAAAGGTATACTTTGGATTGGATTGAAATTTTAGATACATGTAGATTTGAAACAGATTGGTTATCTGTCATTGACACAAGCATGAATGGTCTGGGGT